CTCAGCGGGAGTCGAACCGCGACAGTGCAGGATGGGAGCTTGACACGCTAACCACTCGGCTACACTGCTAAGAGCACCTTTTGGGTCACAGGGCAAATGTGAATGTTCAAGGAAGGCCAGGCCTTTTTGTCATATTATATTCTTTTGGTTGAGTCGTCGATGAAGCAAACGTATATCTGCTATAACATTCGACTACTATACTTTATTTTTCGATTTGAGTATTGTTTTCGTGACTACCAGTAAATCAGTAATATGTTTAAGGTGATGAAGGACTGGTAGAAGAAGAATTTTCCCACAATGATATGAGTTGAGTTAACGTTCCCATTGAATTTCACATAGCCTTGCTTTCCCAAAAGTTGTTCTCATCCAGGGTAAACTACAGTTTCGACCTCGCATCCGTCTTATCAATGGAAACGTCAGCTCAACTCATATCATTATGGGAAAGTTCTTCTACCAGTCCTTCATCACCTTAAACGAAATTGGGTGAATACATCTCATCCTATAACTTTGCCGGATTTTGGGAATGTACCATGTCCACCGTCGGACTGGAAATTATCATGCATACTATGGACTCCGGACAAGGTGCATTCCTTTAGGTCTCCCTTACAATAGGACGAAGTTGCGAAAAAACAGTAAAACAACTTCTATACAACGAAAGGAGGCCTCAACCATACTAAAGGTTACACCACCTTGGTCTTTGTATCTTCGATTTACCTTATTTTATTTTAATCAGGACACTCTTGGAACCTGGCAAAAGTGTGTGAAAGCGACTGAAGAGGCGCTGGCTGGCGGAGCCAGTGTCGCTGTGGACAACACAAACGTTGATGTTTCTTCTCGCTCCCGCTATGTTCAGATAGCCACATCTGTAAAATGCGGTCTTCGCTGTCTTTGGCTCACCACCAGCATGAATCAAGCCAGGCATAACGAGATGGTTAGAATTTTGATCGCTATATACATTTGCTTTCTTGATTCCTTTCTCTTCATCATCATATTGTATCACTTCATTCCATTTTAGGTCTATATGCCTATTTTTGCTGAGTTTTAAACAATGATCGATCAATTTTGATTGGGATGCCTGGCATACACACGTGGCTTTTGAACGAGTAATACATAATTATTCAACGTTAGAATAAGGACCATTAATAAGGGCTATTTTTGCTGCATTTTTATGGCTTGTACAAAAATGTTAGTCTTTACTTTAACCCTAGACACAAATCATGGATAGCAATACTATCGCGACTGTTCTGCTGTGAAAAATCTCTTTGTTTTTATCATCTTTAAAAGACACTAATGTATGTGACAAAAAATTGTTTGAGATTATTAATATATAATTAAACTGGAGGCAAACTGAATACCTAGTTTTCTTGAGTTCATTATTTTTGCACTGGCCATGTCACTCAAAT